AACCCGGGAGGCGGAGCTTGCAGTGAGCCGAGATCGCGCCACTGTACTCCAGCCCGGGCGACAGAGCGAGACTCCGTCTCAAAAAAAAAAAAGAAAAGAAAAGAAAAAAAAATTTAAATATGTGAATTATGAAACTTTTTAAATGTAATATAAAAGGAATGAGACCAAATCTCCTGGTAATACTTTTTATGATTAATTTTTTTTTTTTTAACCAATAGAGGTGATCATTAACATTGATGAAATTCAGTGGTTTTTCATTTTTATTTTTATTTTTTTAGACGGAGTTTTGCTCTTCTTGCCCAGGCTTGATTGCAAAGGTACACTCTTGGCTCACTGCAACCTCAACCTCCACCTCCCGGGTTCAAGTGATTCTCCTGCCTCAGCCTCCCAAGTATCTGGGATTACAGGCATGCACCACCACGCCTGGCTGATTTTTTGTGTTTAGTAGAAACACATGTTGGTCAGGCTGGTCTTGAACTCCTGACCTCAGGTGATCCACCCGCCTCAGCCTCCCAAAGTGCTGGGATTACAGGCATGAGCCACCACGCCTGGCCGAAATTCAGTGTTTTAAGTTTATGGACCTCGAATACATATATACATGTATTTCCCAGTGTTGATGCATGGAAAGCCCAAGCCATGGAGGGGCCCCAAGCAGGTGCTCTGGTCAACAGCTCAAGATGAACGTCCAGCTGACACCAGCATCTGTGGCCAGCCATGTGAGTGAGCCTCACTGATGTCCAGTGCAGTCAAGCCTACGATGTCTCCAGCACAGATACAGACCTCTGTGTAAAAACCACGCAGCTGAGTCCAGACAGATGTGAAAGATGTTTCTTCCAAGCCACTGGGTTTCTGGGTAGTTTGACAGAAAGAAAGAACTGGAACAGTCTGTTCACTGCGTCCGCCCCCTCAGTGGTTCCCCTGTGTCCAAACTCTCCACTGGGCAAGCTTCGTCACCCAAACCCTGGATGCAGTCACTTCCTCAGGGTCTCTCACCACAGGGTCTTGACTCAGGGTTGCTGACGTGCTAGTCTCTGCTAAGATGCTGACTTCTTCACCTTCTCATATTGACTACTGCTCTGGCTGATGTCTGTATTCCCTTCCTCCTGGAGGCCCTTCCTGATGACCTCCCTCTCTCTAATAGTTGCAGCTCCTTGAGGTCAGGGCCTGTCTCTTCCACTGTGGTGATGACCTTCACATAGCGGATGCAGCATAAATTCAAATTATATCAAACCTAGGTCCCAATCAGTACAATAGATTTAGCTTTGGAGCCTCCCAAGTCTTCTTGCTACCACACTGGCTATTTTCATTACAAAATCCAAAGAATTTCACTTCAGATGCCACACTTGTCATTAAGTACTCAGGAGGGACCACCCAGGAGAGTCCAGCAAGGCACATGGTCCAGTCCAAATGGACCTGAGCAGAGCCTGCTGGAGGCTTTGTGAGCTGAGACTCCGCTGTGTACCTGGTTACCCTCCTCTGGGATACAGAGTCTATTCACTAAACACTTCCACTTATTGTTTATATTTCTTGAGGCGGAACATGAGATTGTTGAAAACATACAGATGATGAAACTATGTGCTTTTTAAGCTAGTACAATCTGGGAAGTTGTTGCTATTTATTAAGAAATTATTCAGGGATAGGCAGCTTGGTTTAAATGCAGCAATAGATCCTCATTTCTGGTTCTCTCATCTGGTCCTCCACCTTCCAAAGCCAGCACACCACCTTTGAAGCTCAGCCGCAAACGCTGGAGTTTATCCCGTGTCCCTTGAGGACCCAAAGACAAACAGCCTTGGCAATGCCTTAGTGCCCTGTCCTGCCTCCACTGCAAAGACCATAGGTTTCCTTTGTCCTCATAGGTCATTTGTCCGTTTTCTGTCCAATCAAAGATTGGGTCAGACAGAGCCACTGGGCAACTGACATGAGATTTGCGTATCTGTTCGTAGAAGAGTGAGAAGGCCACCCACTCTTCCTCCTAGTGAACTTCCAGCACAGCAGTTCCATCTTTAGAGCCCAGTTACATGCTTGACTACACTACCGAATGTCAAAACATCAAAAACAGAAAGAAGCCCCTCCACTCCAAGTGAAATTAAGTTTTATTTAAACAGGTAACATTTTATCCATCCTTTTAAAGCAAAAACAATCTAAAGCCATTCAGTGAATCAATAATGCAAAGCTGGTTATAGCAGTAATCAAAATAGTGGCAACATATGCCAGTATGAAAATGTCACAGAATTCAAATCACCCTTGGATCTTCAGTGATGCCAGTGTGCATCCCACAGCAGGGGCTGGTAGATTTCAGATGAAGTCCTCCCATGTATGTGCCATCCCCAGTCAAGTCCTTCCTCTTCACCGTCCATCAGCTCACACAATAGGAAGGCTGGCCAGCGTGGCGACTCTGCAGTTGTTATTCCGGTCTCTGGCCATCTGTATGTAGCCACACATGTCCCAGTCTTCACTCCAGCTGAAAGAAAAGCAGGTTTTCCAGCAATAAAATCCACTGGGCAATTAACAGGAAGACCCAACTTAAACAGTGTGCGAGAGGCCACAGGCTTAGCAGAAAGAATCAGGAGAGGCCAATGTTTTTGTTCATCCTTTATACATTCTTGAGTCATAACCTACACGTAACTTCCATCCCATCTGTGACCTTTTGCAGAACTGCAAACTCAGAGGGAGAAAAATAATTGGATGTTTTTCAGCCAGATATGTTTCAAGATTAAGAAAAATTTCAGAATTTAGCAATGCAAAGGTAAAAAGATTACATTGATACCACTTGTGACAATATCTTAATGGTATAATCAAACGTTAACATTCTGTGTTTAACCTAAATAGGATAAAGAATCTAAGACCTGTATCCAAAATACTGATTCTAAACAAGAATTCCCTTTTGAATTTCAAATAGAAGTATTTTTGGCAATTTATGCCTGTTCTTCACCAGCCAGTATTTATTTTTATTCAATTCTGCCCCTTCATAGCCATAGCCAGCCACCAAAACAGCAAAATCCATTTCTATACTGCTGCACTTTGGCTCAAAATAAACACCTGGGAGAGTAAAATGAAGGCTGGGGTGAGAAGCTCTAGGAGACACCTGACAGTAACCCACCCTGTCATCCAAAGGTATAAAGCCTTGTCTAAATTCAGTGAAATGACACACATTCCAGATAGAACTTAACAAGAGGATCTACTGTTACCAAGGCTGTCATCTAAAGCTAGCAGAAATGCAAATTTGCATAAATCCTTGTCGGCCAGGCGCGGTGGCTCACACCTGTAATCCCAGCACTTTCGGAGGCCAAGGAGGGCAGATCACCTGAGGTCAGGAGTTTGAGACCAGCCTGGCCAACACAGTGAAACCCCATCTCTACTTAAAACACAAGAATTAGCCGGGCATGGTGGTGTGTGCCTGTAATCCCAGCTACTTGGGAGGCTGAGGCAGGAGAATTGCTTGAACCCAGGAGGCAGAGGTTGCAGTGAGCCAAGGTTGTGCCATTGCACTCCAGCCTGGGGGACAAGAGCGAGACTTCGTCTGAAAAAAAAAAAAAGAAAAAAAAAATCTTTTGTCAAAAACTTGCCTAAAACCCACAGGGCTTAGAAAACAAGCCAAACTTTGGTCCATAGAGCAATTATCCCAGGCACAATAACCTTTCCAGAACCCAGGACTCAGTGCTTCCAAAGTCATCACAGACTTGGGGGGATCTGAGAGAAGGAAGGTTGATGGGGAAGCTCTTCTGGCTTTGCTTTCAAGCAGCGCCAGCCAGTCAGTGCCTGTGGCTCACCTCCATGACCTGAGATCACCGTCAGCGGAAAAGCTCCCTGAGTAAGACATCCATTCTGAGAATGTGCCCTCTACAACGCCAGGGCACATGCCAACCTCCAGAGTCCCTAAGTGGCGTGTCCTCTCAGAGCTTTCTGGATTGAGCAGGGTCTCCGTGTAGAACATGGTCCGCACACGCTTGTGAGCAGCCGTTTCCCGCCCATCTCCCTCACTGTTTGCATTGCCCCTTGCTGTGGAATTTCTCAGACCTAAGACTTACCTTCCAGGGAAGCCTCCTCCTGCCTGTATATTAAGCCAACTGGAGACCATGCGGAGGGCTTGGCTGTGGAGCCTGCAGGAACCCCCCGAATCCAGAGCAAGGGTCCACATGCCCCCTCGGCCTGCGTGTAAAATGGAGCCTAGAGGAGCTGACCTGGCCCTGCCCATCAGGCCTGCCCCAGTAACACACCTGGATTCTCGGCAGGCCCCTATCCCTGCCGGCAGGAAGGGTACTGAAAACGCTCTTTGTCTACAACTGGGTCCTTGCCCCACCTGCCCACCAAGGCCTCTGAAGCCCACCAGCACATGGCTAGGACCCTCCTCGGACCCCACTGGGCACCTGAGGGATGGCACTGCTTGTGAGGGCTCTCCCTCCCCAAGGCCAGGCCCAAGGCCCTCTGCCAGGACCCTGCCTCTCTAGAAATGAAACCTTGCGTGGTACAGGCAGCTGTCCACTTATGGACTAGGCCAGCTCCACGGCTGTGACCTGGCAAGATAAAAAGTCCACATGCCCAGTTATAGCCAGCCAGGCTCACGAAGCCCCTGCCTCCCGCCTTGCCAGTGCCAGAAGCCACAGTAGTCAGTGCTGTGTTATTTTTGTAGACATCATTCCTTAGGAACCAAGGCCCAAGGCACCAGATGATTTGGGGGTAGCTTGACTCACATCTGCAAATTTGCAGGCCTCCTTTCCCTTCAAAACTTAGCCCATGGTGGGGCGGGTCAAGCAGACAGTGCTCTACAGACCGGTGCATCTGGAGGAGAAGAGAGAAGATGGCTGAGGGACAGGGAGTGCCTTACTCAGAGGCTGGATGGAGCAGATGAGCCTCCACGGGGCCAGACTCTGCAGCAAGACACACAGGCAGAGCTGCTGGAGAGGAGCGGTGCCAGGCAGGGCCCTAACCTCAGCTCACCTCGGGAGAAGGGGAAGAGGCAGAGGCCAGGCGCCCTCCTTCCCAGCTCAGCCTCCCAGCGCCTGCATGCCCCCCGGGGAGATGCCATGGAGGGCTGAGGCCCGGCTGCCCCACACCAAAGAGGGCTGGGACCCTGACGCAGCACTTCCGGATCGCAGCACGGCGGGTCAGGAGGACGCAAACCCCACCATCACCACACACCCAGAGCCATGTCCATCAGGGACACGCTACCGCTTGTGACATGAGTCGTTGAGCCTCAAAATCTAACCTCCCTTCTGTCTCCCTCTGTCTCTCAGACACACACACACATACACACGACCTGCACACACCACATCACACTGCACACACACACACCACAAACACACACCACACCACATATACACCACACATCACACATACAACACACACCCCACACACACCCTACACCACACACACACACCACACACACAACATACAACACACACCTCACACGCAGTACATACCAACCACACACACACCACACACACACAATACACACCACACACACACCACATAGGCACACCACACACACAACACACACCACACACACACAATACACACCACACACACACCACATAGGCACACCACACACACCACACACACACTATACAACACACACCTCACACACAGCACATACCACACACACACCACACACACAAAATACACACCACACACACACAAGACACACCACACACAATGCACACCACACACAACACACACAACACACAAACCACACACAACACATATCTCACACAAACCACACACGCACACACACCATACACACAAAACACAATACACACCAAAACCACACACAACACACATACACACAACACACACTACACACACCACACATACACAACCACAACATACACCACACACACACACCACACAGGCACATGACACACACATCACACACAATATAAACCACACCACACGCAAACCACACCAACCACACCAAACCAGGCAAACCACACCACACACACACAACACATACACATAACACACAGGTACATGACATGACACACACACACAACACACAAACCACACACCACACACACAACACAACACACCCCACACAGACTGGCACAACACAACACACACCCCACACACACACTGGCACACCACATGCACACCACACATACCACAAACACACAACACACACCACACCACACACACCACAAATGCCACATACATACGCCACACGTATCACATACCACACACACCACCCACCACACACACACCTTACCACACACAGAGCACACACACCACACACACCACCCACCACACACACACCTTATCACACACAGAGCACACACACCACACACAACACCCACCACACACACCACACACAACACCCACCACACACACACTCTACCACACATACTCTGCACACGCCATACACAACACACTCATAGCACACGCCACCATACGACACTCATGCAACACACATGCACCTCACACATCACATACACACCACATGTACACATTCATACCACACACACACCACCTACACCACACACCACACATCACATACCACATCCATCACACTTCACACACTCTCTACACATACACAACTTTTTGGGGGAGGTTAAAGAGAGCCCAGCCTTTCCCATGGAGGCAGCACATTCTCCTTTTTTGAGGAGTCTGGCCGTGTCACCCAGGCTGGAGTGCAATGGCACGATCTCAGCTCACTGCCACCTCTGCTTCCTGGGCTTAAGTGATTCTCCTGCCTCAGCCTCCTGAGTAGCTGGATTACAGGCATGTACCACACCTGACTAATTTTTGTATTTTTAGTAGAGACGGGGTTTTGCCATGTTGCCCATTCTGGTCTCCAACTCTTGGGCTTAAGTGCTCCACCCACCTTAGCCTCCCAAAGTGCTGGGATTACAGGTGTGAGTCACTGTGCCCGGCCTAGGAAGCACATTCCTGCTCCTAGACAACCACCAGTTCTGCAAACCTCTTCCCAGCTCTGAGGTGCAGAGAACTAAGCTGGGGGACAGAGACTTTTCCTGGGTGCCGCTCCAGTGGGAGAAGTGGACCCTGAGCCTTCAGCCCTCGCAGGCACCTGGAGCTGGGGAGGGAAACCCAGGGCTAGGGTGGCGGCCAAGGGAGAACTGGGAGGCCTGGGGGTCCGCTGTTCTAGGGTCGGCAGGCCGGGTGAGGCTGCCAGGTCTGCGCCGAGGCTGGGGATGTGTCCTTGTCTCAGTACTGAGGAGGGTGTGGGGAGGGTTCGTGTGACCCCAGAGCAGGGTACGGTCAGGCCCTTTCCTGTCACCTGTGCCCCTAACCATAGTCCAGGTTCCCAGGGAGAGCAGAGCAGCCTCAGGCCCGCGACTGAGGCATGCTCAGCTCCTCGGGGCATGCAGGATGCTCTCTTCCTCCAGGGGCCTGACATCAGGCTGTTCTCTCCCAAGAAACCCTCACCAAAGATGTCCCCCAAATATCATGACTGTCTTTGGTAACTGATCAGGCATCGGTCACCCATTCATTTGTTTAACCCTTTGCTGAAGGTGGCTGGATTTCCAGCCAGATCTGCCTTCTGGGGCCTCGAGTTCCATCGGTTTGCTTGTTGTGGGTGTTAAATGAGGTTTAGCCTGAAGCTGCCTCCTTACATATTTAAGTTCGGCCTAAAGGTTTCTCTGTACTTTGTGAACTATAACAAGCGGAGGTGTAAACAGATCATAGCCTACACTTGTGCCAATCACCGAGTTTTGGTCAGTTAAATGCAGCCAACTATTCGAACCATGTTCAAATAAGGCAAATCATTCATTGCTCAATTAAACTCCTATAAATTTAATTTGGCCGAAGTTTTTCTTTTGTTATGGGAAATGGAAGCTCCCCTTCGCCCTCACCAGGGGATGTAGGAGCTTGAGAGAGTGCCTCCTACCTCAGCCCATCTGGCTACATATCTTTACAACCACAACCTGCCACCCAATTCCGTTTGAAACCTCAACATATCACAGAAGGAAGGTCTACAGGAAATTTCCTGACGACTGACCATTGTTACAAAATGACAGGCTGATGCAGAGATTTCCAATCTTAAATCTCAGATGGTATCTCAGAAAGCTTTGCCATGTATCAGATTTCTCAAAACAGGTCAACTGCTTTATCCTAAATGGAGACTTTATTGGTTAATGGTGCCAGCCCTGCAGGGCACAGCATAATACTCTCGGGTTTGGCAGTCAGATCGGCGAAGGCTGCTTTGCTTCACCTCTTTCCTTTCCACAGGTCACACTGGGCCTACCAGAGGGACCTTTCCAACCCCCTCACTGACTCTGCCACCTCCCATCCCTCAAGTCCATCCCAGGCCCCAGCCTCATCCCACTTCAACATAGGGCACCCACTTCCCCTCCACTGGCTTCCTCGAACAATCATTGGAAGTTGGCAGAGCCGCTCAAATGCAAAGCCGTGCTGTTGGCTCAGTTTTCTGAGCACTTTTCTCCCCCACAAAAGAAGTAGACAGAGCTGTTGTCGCTTATTTTTTGATGCCAAGATAATGAAATGCAGGGGCCTGCAGCCCCCAAGAAGGTAGAGAAGGACGTAGCAGCCAGGCTTGCTGGGACTGCCTTTTATGGTCTCATGTGAGCCTGGACAGATCCATCAGGGAGGCTGAACCGGGCGTGCTTACTGGCTGCTGTCCATCCTGGCATCCGATACTTAGGCCTGGGGGCGGGGGTGGCCATGGGAACAGAAACAGAGACCGCCTGGCTCAGCAGCTCAGATCCCACAGGGCCTTTGTTCCCAGGTGGAGGCTCCTGCCCCTCTGCCCCCATGGGGCTAGGCAGGCTCTATCCCTCCAGGTGCTGCCTTGACCAGCCTGGCACACAGGCAACCCGTAGGAGGCCCTGACTGGACACTGGCCTGAGGCTTGGCTCGCCACAGGAGGTGAGGAGAAGGGTCCTGTGCCCTCTGCATGTGGGCCCCGCCCTCATCAGAACAACCTCAGGCCTGCAATGATGTCTGTCAGAGCGAAGTGGAGCCTCCTTCCTCCCAAGCTCCAGCTGTCAGTGGCTGAGCTGGGCCATCAGGGGAGGGATGGTGAGGCTCACCTGCCAGGACGCAGCTGGCCATGTCATCCCATCCACCCACAAACATCTCTAGAGACCCTGGTGATGGCTGTGCTGGACACAGCCCAAGCTCACATAGACCACTCTCCTGACATAGCCTCCTCCTGATGCCACCTCCTGAGCAGGGCCCAGCCCCTGCACCAGCACAGCCCCACCTTCCTCCCAGCCCCGGGGTCCAGGCTGCTGGGGGTGCCGAAAGGGTGGTGCTGCAAATGGAGATGAGAAGGGATGGGC